CCCCACGGACTGCAGGTGGATATCTGCTCTACCGTTAACCTCCATGGGCGGCGGGGGGACAGCCTGCCTCGCCATGGTCTTCACCACGGGCTGCAGGGGAATTTCTGGCGCCTGGAGCACCTCCTCCCCCTCCTTCTTCACTGACCTTGGTGTCTGCAGAGCTGTTTCTCTCACATATTCTCACCCCTCTCTTCTGCTACAGTTGCGCAGTTTTTTTCCCCTGTTCTTAAATATGTCATCCCAGAGGCGCTACCACCGTTGCTGATGGGCTTGGCCTTGGCCAGCGGGGGGTCCGTCTTGGAGCTGGCTGGCATTGGCTCTATGGTACATAGGGGAAACTTCTAGCAGCTTCTCACAGAAGCCATCCCTGTAGCCCCCCCTCCCCTCCCTCCAAAACCTTGCCACGCAAACCCAATACAGGAGGATAACAGTAAAGTGATCTGTACTTTTACGATGTTTTACAGCCCGGAAGAGCCTGCACCATTTCCCCAGTGAAGATGAGGAAACAAAAGAATTGATTTATAATTATACTCCAATATATACAGGAGCATTTTCTTCATTTCAGCAAATCTATTTTTTTGATTGAGTATGGTGTCAAAGGTGTGGTGTTGCTATTTATAAATGGAATTATTTGCCAGCACTACGTAATTAAGCTGATACAGTGCACCACACGTGACAGAAAGCCAGAACAGTTCTCTTCCTTTACAATGATTTATCCTGTGTTTCTTCTACACTGTTGGACCATTAATATAAAAATTTACATTCAATAACATAATAATTGTCTTGGATCACACTTTAAGGCAAGCTACAGAAAAATGCATTTTTCTTCCAGGGAAGAGGTCTTGATTATGCTTATAAACTTGGAAGTAATCATCTTAGTACACGGAAAAACACTGTATTCATATATTTTAAAATATGAGAGTTATCTTTGTAAAGCGTTGTGGACTATGATAGCACTAGAGGCTTAGATACATTACTTATAAAATCCTATCCTTTTCAAATGATGTAACAAATGAGACTCTTGGGTTTGTCGTAAGTAAGTCTATGTAACCAAGTTCTTTACAGGGACTATTTTGTCATTTGAAAAATTGACCAAAATAATAAGGAGGCATGATAGCAAAGAGACATTTTTGCCTAAAAAGCACATGTTATATCCCATTTGTGAAAGTGTTTCTCTTGTACATTCAGCGTTGTTTGGAGTGCCTATACCTTGTGAGGTCTACATAAATTTACTGAGGATGCAGTGTAAATCAGGTAAAAGAAGTAAATTTGGAGGGCATAGCTAAGTGCTGATTCCACTTTCTGTTCTTTACAAATTCAGTTTTATATATCCTCCAAGAATTTGTCTGAGAATGACTGGAGTCAGCAGACAGATACGAGTTGCAGACGTCCATTTCTTTGTGTTTAAGAGAATGTAAACCTAAGTTTTTCTTCACATAGTCTGACTTTTCCTGTAGCTACTGGATAGAATTCTCACTTTGAGTCAAGAGGTAGTTTGCCATTAACTTAGTAAAGACAGTAGTTTCTTTCTGTCTTGTTGCATAGTTTAATGCAGCTAGAATTCAAACAGCGGATGAATGTATATGAGAAACCTATTAATGTTGACATGATGTGATAATAGCAGTTGCATTCAATACACTGTGATACCTCTTTTCTTTTCTTTGCTTTGCTGCACACTTAGTGAAAATTTTGTTCGGTGGTTTTGTGTGGTTTCCAGAAAAGAACTGAGATGAGACAATCCAATATAACTCTCCTCTATTGCAGAGTTTCCAAACTCTGTTAACATCAGTAGGGATTTGGAGTTTATGAAGAATTCAGGTCTGTTTTATGGTACCTTATACTCTCAAGTACCATATCTGAATAAAGCTGTTAAAGTTTCTCAGGTTTTCCAAGTAAAAGATTCTCTAACTTTTTCTTTATCATGAAACAACTGCGGAAGAGAATGTGAAATGCATTAGTTAAAAAACTATAAGGAAACATTAACTGTGACTACTAGAAAGACACTACCAGGTAATTACAAGCTTAAGCATGCGATATTGCAGATTATTTCTACATTTGTCAGATCAGCCAAATTCAGTAAATGGAACTCATTTTTAATGTAGGTGACTATATTAGCTGACTTCTGAGTAGAACCAAGTGTAAAAAGAGGATTACGCTCTACAGTTGCATGTAAGTGTAGCAGGTAAGATACTTACAAACCAAGTTCAGTCTTCTTGCTCAGGCGGAGTTCTTTGGAATAGCTTTAAGAATTTGCCTAAGTAAGGAGGGCAGGATTTAGCCTTAAAAACAGGGATCAATCTTGCAAGTGAAATGTCTGCTAACTGCAATGGTACTAATTAGTTTTTAAGTGTGTATCTATAAGGAATATTGTGTGTTATATGATGAGAGAGCATATGAATTTGTATGTGTCTTTCCTTTATATCCTTTATCTTGTAAAGCCTTATTTGATGGTGTCCATGATTTTTCTATGATACATGAAATAAACTTTTATTCAAGCAGATGCATATTTTTGTTCTCTTTTAGATACCATGGATAAAGCATTAACAGTCATTGTCTTTTTATTTCCATCTGTGACAGTCACAAATCAGGAGGCTACTGTAACCTGTGTCCGCTTGGTATGGTCATGTCAGCAAGTCAGGGTCAAGATAAGTGAGATCCATGGCCCGGTACAGACATACCTACAGCATAGCTCGGGCAGGGACTCGTGCCCATGGCCTGAGCTTAAATGCACTTAAATGCGGCTGCTGAGCTAAGGGGCAGAAGCTGCCCACAGCTCTTTCTCATGCCGCCTTTTGACAGCAGGCTCATCCTAAGTGCAGAGTATCAGAGCTTGCTTGCGTATGGGCAGCCAAACCCCTACGAAGGTGGGAAGGGGTTGCAGAACCGGTGTGTGCTCTCAGGGCTCTGAGAGCTGTAACAAAGCAACTGCTGTCTGCAATGATCAGTGAAATGAGAACTTCTGTTCCTTATAATACCTGACATCTTCCATCAAGTTCTCTTTCAGTCAGAAGCAAACTATGGGAACCCCAAAGTGCCTACCACTCACCCAGTAGAGGGTTTAAAAATGTGTTTTAAAGAAGTTTCAGTAGACCTTCTCTCTGCTCTAAGTGATTTACTATATGTTTTTTCATTGCTCAGGCAGAACTTCTAACATCGTTTTTAGGATTAGTGCTGGAGACGGAAGAAAAGGAGCCTGTGGCCATACTCTCAGCTTATTCAGAGTATGGCTTGTGAGCCTAATCACCTTACTTGCTGCTGTGTGGGGAAAACATCCGTTGATCAGCAAGGAAACCCTGTGTGTCTTGCAGATTATATTAAATGATCTTTCAAAGGAAAAGTTAGAAATGGTTTTGTCTGGTACTGTTGGTACAATGGTACTCTTCTGCTTTTACCACTAGATGGCCTACAAGAACCAGTATTTTGTGCAATTTCATAATCGGGTGTGGTGGTGTCTCAGAAGTTTAAAGTGACATGTTGAGTGGGATATTTATTGTATTGTGGTATTTCCTTATGTACCAGGGTGTTTGGGATGTGGGGGCAGAAGAAGGGAGGAGACAGAATAAGACTGGAATCTTACTTGCATAACTGGCCACATTGGCAGGATTGTAGGAGAGAAACAGAGAGTACATGAGCATAGAATTAATTCAGCTGGGATTAAATCTTGATTCCAGTGAATATTTAAAACATTTGAGCATTAGCTGGAGGTGACTGGAACGACATCCCTATTTTCACGTGGTTGTTCATCCCCTGTAGCTACAGAATCTGTCTTGGTTGTTCAAGGTTCGAAGGGGGAAGGGGATAAAAC